GAAATTAAGATATTCATGATAAATAAATCGTTCATTGTCTGATTCTCAAGAGTTGTTATGATTCAAACTTAAAACGTTTTAGTTTACAATTCGTCTCTATTACCACTTGATCTACTCCGTGTAGTTTATTATCATTTTTAATAATAACAAATANTCAAACTTAAAACGTTTTAGTTTACAATTCGTCTCTATTACCACTTGATCTACTCCGTGTAGTTTATTATCATTTTTAATAATAACAAATAGTTATAATGATTTAAGTTTATAATTATTATATGAACTTGAAATTTATACAATCACCTAAAATCAGGCATATTAGATCAATCATAATATATAGTTAGAGAATCAAACTTACCTCTATAACATATTATTTGTTAGAACTCTATAGTATATATATATTTTTTATTTTCTTGATAAATTACCTATGAAGAAATGAAGTGGGACCATTATATGTAAACGGGTCCCTTATTTATTAATAATGAATAATTTATTATTAAAAAATAAAAAAATATATTATAGGAAATTTGAAACAATTCCTAACACTTAATTTCCAGCCATTTTGCTTTTCAAATAAAAAAAACTACATACAATTTATTTATTTATTAAATAAATCTGTTGATAATATTTTAATCGAATTTTATCTGACCTTCAAATATGGCCCCGCTTCAACCTACTTACGTGACAGCCCTGTGAAAATAGCTTTGACTCACTACTAAACAAAACGGCTCTCTTTTCAGCTCAGAGAATAGAAGAAGAGAGAGATAAAAGAGAACGACGGGAGGATAAGCAGAGAGATTGTATACACACACACACACAAACACAAACACACACCGTATCTTCTCCGATTGGTCTGCGTCAAGATCCATTTTCTACGAACAAAATCTCTGTAAATGCATCTCTAACATCCACCCCTCATTACCCACTTATATTCACAACAATGTCCTCTAGCAGCCCACAACCACCACTCCCTGATTTCCCCACCACATCGCCACCCAACCACCACCCACACAGCCACCTCCACAACCGCTTTCCCCTCATCCCTCCAATCCTTGCAGCCACAATAGCCCTTGCATTCTTCGTTTTGTTTGCGATTATTTACCGTAAACTGTCCCGGAAAAGAACAGCTCCTGCGGATCTGAAGACTCCACAAAGATTTTCCTACTCCGTACTCCGCCGTGCCACGTCGTTGTTTGCCGCAGCCAACCGCCTCGGACAGGGAGGGTTCGGCTCCGTCTACAAAGGAATCCTCCCGTCCGGGCTGGAGATAGCTGTGAAGCTCATGGATGCTTCCGGCTCTCTCCAAGGAGAGCGAGAGTTCCACAATGAACTCTCGCTTGCCTCGAGGATTGACACCACTTGCTGCCCACACGTGGTGTCCATCCTCGGATTCTCCTCCGATGGCACAAGATGTAGTAGTAATCGTCACCGTCGTCGCCGGAGACTATTACTAGTATATGAGTACATGCATAGTGGGAGTCTCCAAGATGCATTGTTAGATCGCAAGTGTCCAGAGCTAATGGACTGGAAAAAAAGATTTGGAATTGCTATAGCTATTGCAAAAGCTCTTGAATATCTTCATTCTTGTGATCCCCCAATAGTNAGTGGGAGTCTCCAAGATGCATTGTTAGATCGCAAGTGTCCAGAGCTAATGGACTGGAAAAAAAGATTTGGAATCGCTATAGCTATTGCAAAAGCTCTTGAATATCTTCATTCTTGTGATCCCCCAATAGTTCATGGCGATGTCAAGCCATCCAATATACTATTGGATTGTAATTTCAATGCCAAAATCGGAGATTTTGGGTTAGCACAAGTTTTAACAAGAGATGACATTGTTGAAACGTACATTAACATAGGGGAGAATCAAATTGACAAGGGGAAAAAGGGTTCCGAGATGTGTTGTGGAAATGGGGAAGATAACGGGTCGATAATTGAGGAAACAGAGAGTGTGATGACAGAGGAAGTGGTGGTGAATGTAGATCAGTCACCGGAGAGTTGTTGTGTGAGGGTTTTGGAAGGGGAGGTGGCGGTGTCGCCAGAGATAGGTGCGGTGGAGGCATCTCCGTCTGAGGGATTGGACAAGACGAGTGTGTCTGAGGGATGTTTTGATAGGGCCAGTGTTGATAGTGGGAATAGGAGGGTGGTTGGGAGGAAGAAAAGTCTTTCTGGGAGGGATTGGTGGTGGAAACAAGACAATGGTAATGGAGGATCAGAGTCAGGGAGAGTGAAAGATTATGTGATGGAGTGGATTGGGAGTGAGATAAAGAAGGAAAGGCCCAAAAAGGACTGGATTGAAACATCGAGGGCAATGGAGGAGACTACCAAAATGGAGCCAAAGAAGCATATGAAGAAATTGGAGTGGTGGGCTTCATTGGATGAGGAGCGAGTTCAGAAGGAGAAGAAGAATAGGAAGCCAAGGGAGTGGTGGAAAGAGGAATTTTGCGAGGAATTGACGAAGAAGAAGAAGAAAAGGGGGACTAAATCTGATAATGGTGGAGAATTATGGTGGCAGAGAGATGAAGATGTGGTGCCTGAGAGAAAGAAGAGGAAGAGCAGGGGTAGTAAGGGTAGCATTGATTGGTGGTTGGATGGTTTCAGTGGGGAGTTTCGAAATGGCAGGAGGAATAGCCAAGATTGGGCTAGTGGGGATATCCCCAAGAGCGGTGGTGTTAGTAGTACTCCTAGTATGAGAGGAACTGTTTGTTATATTGCCCCTGAGTATGGTGGTGGTGGGCAGCTCTCTGAGAGGTGTGATGTTTATAGTTTTGGTGTTCTGATATTGGTTTTGGTTTCTGGGCGAAGGCCACTCCAAGTAACGGCCTCGCCAATGGCAGAATTTGAAAGGGCAAATCTGATTTCGTGGGCTCGACAACTTGCCCACAATGGGAGGCTCTTGGATCTTGTCGATCCCAATATTCAGTTGTTGGATCGAGAACAGGCATTGCTCTGTATCACAATTGCACTTCTCTGTTTGCAAAGGTCACCTAGCAAGCGTCCGACCATGAAAGAAATTGTTGGGATGCTTTCTGGTGAGGCTGAGCCACCCCACTTGCCGTTTGAATTTTCACCATCACCACCATCTAACTTTCCTTTCAAGTCCCGGAAAAAGGCTCGGTGAGTTGGTCAGATGTTTGATTCCGATTTCACAAACAGTAGAGTGCACTGTTGTAGACCGTTTTATGTATCTTTTTTTTTTTTTGGTAGAAATTGTGAGAAAATCAAAAAGAAAAAGTTGTATGTTTCCCGATTTCAGCTTGGCTATTCACTTGATTATTTGCATATTTGGTTTGGTCCACAAAACTTCATCTCAGTATGATCTTTTAGAACAGTAATAATTAAGGCACAGACTCCCTTTAGCTTGTGCTCCCACAGAATGTTAAATTCTAGGAATCCCAGGCATAAAGGATATATCTTTGACAGTTGCTCTCACTTTTTGAGTGTTGAGTCGACCTTAATCAACAAATTTAGTGCCCTTGGACTTTGATGAGCTTACTTTATGGGTTTCCAACGGATTGGGCCCCTATTTGCATTTTTGGTTGTCTGCTGCCTAAGTATGTGAGTTTTGTTCTAAAGTTACATTGATATCAATGTGTGGGAACCAATATCTTCCTGGCCTCGTCTATTGCAGAAGGATTATATATACATGTGGAAGTGTCGAGGCATGTTTAGGCATGGTTGTGTATGTGTGTAGACATGGTTAGGTAAGGTTGTGTATGCCCTCATGCACAAACACATATACCTGCACATACACAAATGCAAATGAAAGAAATACTGAGCTAAAAAAGGGAAGCACTCCGGGCTAATTTTGCAACCCGTTATATGTAATCAATTGTGTTAGAGACACGCCTGTGCTCAATTGGGGATCTGCTGGAGAATGATTTAGCTAGTATTTTTTTGTTTGACCGTATAACTTACCCTATTTAAACTTTCCAATGTACCAAAAAAAATTACATAATTAATTTGACAAAGCCTTGTCCTAGCTATTTCGGAGCATTCTAGATGCTCATATTGTAATTAAAGTCTCAATTTCTTTTCCTTTTTTAATAACCAAATGATCTCTGAAGTTGAAAAGTTGCATAAAGAGGTTGAACTGAGTTCTGTTGGGTGCTTCTTGTCACCTTTATNCTCAATTTCTTTTCCTTTTTTAATAACCAAATGATCTCTGAAGTTGTAAAGTTGCATAAAGAGGTTGAACTGAGTTCTGTTGGGTGCTTCTTGTCACCTTTATATAGGATTTAAAATGTCTTCGATAACTATTATACATAGAAAAGCAAAATTTTGTGTTCACTTCTTGTCCCAAATAGTTTTGTCTCAAATATTCGAAAACATTGAAAAGGAAGCACAGAGTCTAATGTGACCTTCATCCTTTTATTCACTTCTTGATTCTATAAAATCTTGGAGGTTATGTTAATTATTCTCTCTAGTAATAATATTTGATCATCTGAGTTTGCCATGGTAGAATATAGGATTGAGGCATGGTATTACAGCTGAATATGGCGTCATGTAGCAGCTTGCAAAAACGACAATGCCCAAATCTAGATGGAACTGAATTTGTTCATGCTACTAGTCATTTATCAGTAGCATTATCTGTGACTAGTAGTTTAATGTGGTTTATTATTCATATTTGTGGTTCTGATCTCGGGCAATGCCTCCAAAATCTGCTATTCCCCCCTTCATGTTAACCGAACAGCAGAGTTTGAAGGCATTGTATGATATACTCATGGCAATACGTATGAGACAGGGTTATAGCCTTCATCGTATAGTATCAAAATATATCATCGCTCTAATACTGGATGTAGTCACATGAGTTGCCATTATTTGAGGGCACGGAAACCTGATAAGGTGGCATAAAAGCTCTTTAAACTCGCAAGTAGGACAGCGACTCACAGAAGGTGCCATCTGCCCTTGAACAATGCATTATCCAACCAAGCTTGATGATGTCAATCCAAACCTCTGGCCATCCAAGCAATCCTTATACAGTCGTGAAGGTCGGGCCTCCAGGAAACATTCACTGGGGGCTTCTTGTCCGATAGCACAATTCTTAGGCATACAGTCACACATGATATCATAGGAAATTAGGGTTGTCAACTTAGGTCCTTTTTTTTGAAGAAAATAGTGAAGCAAATATTCTATTAAGAAAGTAGGATGAAGGGCTGCATTTGAATTATGGTTTGGGATTTAGGTTTTGCTTTTCTCATATTTCAAACACCACTTAACTGTTGTCAGAATTTGAGTGCTTTAGGTTTCCTTGGACTAGGCAAGACCCAGAACTAGTATCAGAATAGGATATTAAGGAGAGAAAAGGGGAGGGGTTAACATGTTGTATTCAGATGTTTTGTTCTAAATATTGTCCTCTCATAACTGTCCTCCTGGGAGTGGTAATGCAATAAAGCATCGTATCTCTGCTTATCTCAAGAAACATTTGTCATATTGCAGTTCTGTTTCTGACTTCGTGAATTTGTCAACCATTGACAGGAAATCAATCACTTGAAAATTACAATACTTAATTATGGAAAGAGCAAGATAATTCCTTGTTTAACCTGCCTAGGTTGTTTGTTTTCGACTTGTCGTGTATACTACCATTGTAACAGGGAAGGGTAATATGAATGCTGATATCATGGAGCAGAGCAGGAAAAAGATGATGTTATGGATTTTTGGAAGATACTAGCTGCATTCTTGAGGTAATTATTACTCTACATGAACAACAGAATCTTGATAAGAGAAATTGCTCTGTGTATCCTGCAGTTGGTATTGATGTTTGCACAAACACCTAATCCTTTGAAAGGCTTCGTAAGGTTTAACAAACAGTTTACCATACCCAAGTTAGGTGGAAGTCATTATGGCAGAGAGATTAATACCCTTTGAACTGGTGCAAATTATAGTAAAAAGGATACATAGTTTACGGTTTAACAAAAATCAGTGTACAGTAGAGAAGTAGGATTCACGCAGCTGACACTAATTGAGAAAAAGACTTTGTTGAGTTGAGTTTACCTAATGCTAATTATGATCGTGTTAGTTGCTTATTTTAGAATTTTTCTATCATCAAAATTAGGTGGAGTTTGTTCTGCCTTTTTGTTACACTTTGAAGAGATTGCCTGCAAGTCCATATCATGCTATCATTAGTAGGTCGTTAAGTTTGGTTATTGTATGTCATGTCTGTTAGTTTTAAAGTAGGCCCATTTAGCACGAAATCAACACAGAATTATGGAGATTGAGTTAACAGTTAATGGGATCAAATAATAAACGGGTGGATTCATTAGTCTTATTAAATAAATCCATCGTTATAAACTCGAATAAACATGACATGAACCATTTAGCACGACTTACACACAATAAAATTTTAATACGAGACAAACTTGACTATATACCATTTTAATTAAGGTATAAGTTGTGTAGATTCTAATACAATACGAATGTTACTATTCTGCATCTAACTATGCTTACTTGGTAAATTTTTTTATTTTTTTTTTTGTAAGCACATCACTTTCCCAGGTAGTTTAAATACTATTTATAATGTTTATCGTAGAATATAAGTTTTGAATGACCCTGCTTGAAGCAATTCCTGTCTTAGGTTTCTTAGTACAATAAGCCAAATTGCCCAAATGGGATCGAAATCCAAGTAGTTGACGTCTCGTTATATATATATACTAGTCATAATTCGTACCTTCAGGCATGAAAAAATATAAAATTCGAGCGTCCAAAAAATCAATCTCACTATATTAAATTTTTTAAATATAGTTTAACTAAAAATTAATCAAATATTAAATGATTAAATATATGATAGAAATAAGTGATGTGATATTTTTATGTAGGAAATATATAAATAATTAAATATGTGATAGAATAAGTAATGTGATTTAACGTTTGAGTCTGACAAAAGAATAATGTAAGGTAAGTAATTGGTGATGATTTTGAGAGGAAAAATATGACTAGGATAAAATTCAAACACACTCTTATTTTATTATATAAATATATTGATAAGGGTGAAAATTTGGGAATGAGCCGCTAGAGTCTCTGAGCCCAATGCACTTTGAGAATTCAAAGAGAGGGCTTATTGGCTCAAAGGGGTGTCTCTGGTTAGCCCACATCAAGAGCAGAAAGAGTAAAACCCAATGACTCCAAAAGACAAGTAATTTAGCCCTGGCCCAATCTGGTACGAGTCGAATGACTATTCGAGAAAGAGGGTTCGAATCTTTGCCCTGACAGCATCCCGTCATGCCACACATCCAATAGAAAAGGGGACCATCTTTGAAACCTATGACAGTTACATCCACTCGGACGCAAAAGATGGTGGCTCGTAACGTTCTAGAGATCGTGGGCACAGTAGCGCCAGCTAACATAGGATTTGGCAGGACAAGGACGAAAGGTCCCTACAGGATCAACACAAAGGTAGAAGGAGCCACCAAAAACCCTAGGAATGATTAATATAAATAAAACAGTGTAAACCTACCAAAAGGCATCCCCTTCCCCCCCCCAAAAAAAAAAAAAAAAAAGATATTCCTCTGCCTCGGATATGGAACGAGCAAATGCTTAAGCCTCTGTAAAGGCTCAGTGCCTACAATCTTGATATTCTCACCTGATCCTAATACACGAACTTAAAGAACAAGAGACTCCATTAAAATGGATGTAGTCTTGGTCTTCCAGCTAAGGTGAACCATTTACGTCTTGAGCCTTCCCTCATTTGCAATCAACCATATATTCGATCAAACTCATCGATCCAAGTAGCAATTCATTAATTGGACTTGGGTTATTATTTCCGTGATACCATCATATATATATATATATATATATGGTTTGTTAATTTTATTAGTTAACTTAATGTATGGTTGACATTGAATTCAAAACGGTTCATGATCAAGATTCGCTGCAATTCATTAAGAAAAATGTTATTTAGGAATTTAATTCAATACAATAATTGTATTAGTGGTGGGCTCTATTTAACATTAGAACTCTCAATTAATCTAATAATTACACTGAATTAAGTCTTTAATTTGGTCCTTATAACATTGCTCATTTAATAAGAGACCGATTAAATCAATAAATAAGATCATCAAATTTAGAGTGGGTACGGTTAAGGACTCACTAGGTTTGTCAATCATGTCGGGTAAAGGGAGTACACACGTGTCGGATATTAGTGGGTTTATGTCAAAAAATACTTAACTCATACTCAATTGTTATATTCATTCGTGTCTAATGAATTATGTCATATCGAGTTTGTGTCATATATAACTAATATATACATAAGTCGGGTCGTGTATTTATTTTGATTGACTTTATTTATACCTGATTCGTTTATTAATTGTATCATGTTGCATTCACTCGTTTATGAAACAAGTGTGTTAAGGAAGACCCAAATTCTCTAATCTCATATTGTGTTAACGAATTGTGTCATATTTTAACTATCTAGAAATCACTGTCAATTCAATTTAATAATAAGGATTAATTAAGTCAATAAATAATAAGATCAAATTAGAGATTTGACTATGGCATCGCCAAAAAAATTTTGGTGTCATACCTCTAAAATTTATTATTTTAAAGGGTATTTTTATAATTTTTTTGAGTTATTTACAACCAAAGAATTCATTATTTTTGTGGTTGATTTAGTACCTTTACAAGTGTTTTTATCACAATTGTGGAGTTTTTATCATATTTGTGATAATTATTTTTACCATATTTCTTATGAATAAAAAATTTATTTGTATTTACTTTTATCACATTTGTGAATATTTTTACTATTTGTTGTAGGTATTTTTATTATTTTTTTAGGTATTACAATAATAAAAAATATATATATATATAATAAAATATCTTACAATTCAAATTTCAAAAGATAAACAAAATGACTTTTACTATTCGCGGTTGAGATCGCTTTAAATTTTACTTTAAAGTTAATCTAACGGTTAATATTAACATCCTAAATTTAATATAAAAAATAGGTCCCTGAGAGTGTGTTTGAAATGACTTTCTAAAACTACTTTTAGAAATTATTTTTCATAAATATTTTTTTTAAAAAAATAGTGTTTGAAACTGTCTCATCACTACCTCTACTACCACCACCAACATAGTCGTCGTCGCCACCACCGCCACTACCACCGTTGTCACCACCACTGCCCCCACCGCCACCCCTACCACCACCACTGCCCCAACCACTAGCACTGTTGTCGTCGTCACAACCACCATCGCTGTCGCCACCACCACCATTACCGTCGCTACCACTGCAATCATAGTCATTGCCACCTATCACAACCATTACCGTCTTCTACCATTACTACTATTGTTCATCACCTCTCACCCCTATTACAAATCAATGCTTAAATTTTTTTATTTATTTTTTATATTTGTAATTTGTAATTTTGAATATTAATATAAATATATTTTTTATTTTTTATTATTTTTTACCTTTATGCACAAATAATAATTAATAAATAAATATAATAAAAATACCCATAAATATAATAAATTTCGGTAGGCAGTCGAATCCTCAAATTAGATACCAATATACTTGGACACTATAGAGTCCAACCTACCAGCCTTTCAATTGGCAGTCTCTCATTACTGCTCATTTAATCCTCTATCATCCCCCGCCCCCGCTTCTTTCTTCTCTCTCCAACCAACTATGGCTGAGCCACTGTCCCCGGGGAAGTCCTCCACGGTTTCCGGGCCTGATTTCCTTTTCCCAAATCATGACGGCTCGTTTACTCGAATCGAAGCCTTCCCCAAGCTACCTCCAACACCAGAAAACACCACCACCAACGATTCTAACTCAACCCAACACGCCCTCTCCAAAGACATACCTCTTAACCCTACCACCAACACCTTCATTCGCATCTTTCGACCTTCCAATCTTCCTCCAAATACTAAACTCCCAATCATTATATTCTTTCACGCAGGTGGTTTCGTACTTTTCAGTGCAACATCTCAACCTTTTCATGAATCATGCAATGACATGACCGTTCAAGTCCCAGCTCTGATTCTCTCTGTCGAGTACCGTCTTGCACCGGAACACCGCCTTCCGGCAGCTTACGACGATGCCATGGATGCAATCATGTGGGTCCGAGACCAGGCACTAGATATGAACATTTGTGATGCTTGGTTGAAAGATTTTGCTGACTTTTCTAGGGTGTTCTTGATGGGTGGTAGCTCAGGTGGCAACATAATTTACCATGCTGCTCTACGTGCACTGGACATTGATCTTTCTCCGGTGAAAATCATGGGTCTGATCATGAACCAGCCATTCTTTGGTGGGGTGAAGAGGACTGAATCGGAGACGAGATTGACCGATGATCCGGTATTGAATATGCCTCTGACCGATCTGATGTGGTCCTTGGCATTGCCGAACGATGCTGATCGTGATCATGAGTACTGTAATCCATTGAATATTGGTGAGTTTCACAAGAAGAAGATCGGAGAATTATGCAGGTGTTTGGTTAGGGGAAGTGGTGGTGATCCACTTATTGACCGGCAGAGAGAGTTTGTGGACTTGATGGTGGCGCGTGGTGTTGACGTGGTGGCGTGTTTTGAAGATGGAGGCCACCATGGTGTAGATCTCTTTGATCCCGTAAGAGTTCAAACTTTTTATAATAATGTCCAGCAGTTTGTTCACTCAATTTAAGAGTCAACGGCCATATCACTATACTATCAGCTTTATGTGGGTATTATGATTTCTGGGTTTTCAAGACTCTCTCTCTCTCTCACACACACACAGAGTGTGTATGAATATGGGTATGGGTATGGGTATGGGTATGGGTATAACATGTTAAGCAGAACTTGTTGAATTTGTTGTAACTTGACAAGATGATACTGTTGGTTTGCTTTCTTTATGATGTTAAACTTAACCACCCAGTTTGTGTTTGTTTCAAACATAAGGAAAATCAGTTTCCATTATGATGTTGAAGCTTTGCTTTTTATTGTCTTCGTCAATGTCATTGTCCTTTAAGTAGGATTCGGAATTGTCTAGGGGGATTTACTAGCTTTTAAGATTACAAACAAATCCTAGGAGATTTTTTGTAAACCTAGAAAATCTGATATAAAAGTTGGAGTTGACTTGAAACTTGGGGTTAAAATTGTCTTTTTAGTTTTTTTTTTTTTTGACAGAGATAGGTAGGTTATTATAACAAGAAAGTCTACGAGTTGGAGTAATTCCCATGTAATCAACCGACAAAACCCAGATTGATTAGTGGAGACTTTAGCTTAAAATTAAATAAGTGAACATAGATTAAGGGGATGACACTAGGCCTATCAGGATCGTTATTACATGTATATTTTAACCGGATTGAATTTTAATAAAATTTCATATATATATATATATATATATATATATATATATATATATATATATATATCAATAGTCGATTTAAGATATCTAGATGGATTCGAATCGAATTTGGATAATCAGATGAAAATCTCGGTACGTATTTGATTAAACAGATTCAGATTAGATTCAGATTGAAATCTGATCTATTTACGGGCCTAGATAAAACAACTTTTTTACTATTGATGTTTGAATTAGATTAAGGAGATCGAACCAACCACTTATTGCAAATTATTAAATTTGCATGTTTTTTCTTCTCCTCTCTCTTTTTCTCTAATTCAAGTGATCAAAAATTGTATCATTTAGACTTTTCATCATTCTTATCAACTAAAAAAGCAAAAATATATAAATATTTGTTTCCATTTGTGATGGAAAACCAATCTTTTTGTTTGGGTTTTTCATTTAAGGTTTCGACATGATTGAAAAATTAGAAGATACGAGTGAGATTCCAATTATACAGTAAAGAAATTTTTTAAGTGTGCATTATTTTATAAGATTTTCACACAATCTCCCAGTTGAATTTGATTGAACATCAGTAACGATTTCTTGAATATTTTAAAACTCTTTAGTTAAAGTGTGTATTAAAGAATCATAATAAATTAAAACTCTTTAATTCAACCTTTTATTGCGTTTGGTTGTTAAAAATACTCTGTATTATATCTAATCTTATTTTACATACATATAAAATATATATACAGATAATCCGTTCTATCTGAAAATATAGTGTTATAATATAGTAAAATCATATTAAGTTATATTTTATTATTTTGCCCACCAACTAAATAAAAGTATGCATAACTAGATTAGATTGATGGAATTTTGGTCAATATGTAATTAATACTATATTTTTCAACTCTCATCCAATGTCTTAGCAAACATTAGATTACAATAAGTATTATATTTATCTTAGTTTATTAACCGATACAATCATCTCTTTTACTATACGACAATTCAACAAGCCTTTATAGTCTATTTTTTCTATAGAAAAGAAAGAAAAAAAGAATTATTTGGTCAAAAATTTTCCTTTAGTAATCAACAATCATTGCCATCAATAATACTATATTTATAATTCTAATCGTCTCACTTATTTTGCTGATCTAATATATTTATTGTCACTACATTCCATTTAATATTGAGACATTCCCCTTATCCCAAACATCATAACAGCGGATTAAAGCAACAAATGAAATCAAATGATTAACCTCAAGTAATATTCTTATATTGCGATATTGTCCTATATACATATCCATTAATATTTATAGTCATTTCTCTGCATATATAGCATTATTATTTTTTTTCACAATTTTTTTAGTTTGTCTTTTATTACGACTTCAAGTGGAACTAACGTATGCATATTTCATCAAAAAAATAAAATAAAATAAAAATAAATATTGTACTCAAATCTTGAGTCACGAGTTTAAATCTCGTCATCTTCCTTTTTTAATAAATTTCCAACCAAAAAAAAAAAAAATTCTTTGGCTAAAATCCACAACTCCTTTCACATATTACAAGGAGGTGCCTATCGAGAATCAGTCAAAGTCAACAAAACCAAATCTTATGGTCTCCCAAACTTTACCTATCCGATAGTTAAGGATATCCCTTTACATCCCCAACAAAATAGCTCCTTGCATGGTTTTTTTTTTTTTTTTAATGACACAAAAAAAAAAAAAAACCAACAATACTCACAAACCCTAATCTCCTTCCAACATTATTATAATTATTTTCAAGGGTGTGTTGAATCCTAAAATGTCAAAATTCGACCCTTACCAACACCTTAACATCTCCCTCAACCCCGACGGGTCGGTCACTCGCCTTCTCAACATTCCAGCCGTTCCACCTACCGGCGATGTCGACCCTCTTCCCGGCCAAACCGTCATCAGCAAAGATGTCATACTCAACGCCAACAATAAAACCTTCATCCGAATTTTCCGACCGACCAAACTGCCCTCAAATGATAACTCCGTCGCTCGGCTTCCGATCTTAATCTCCTTCCACGGCGGCGGATGGATTTACTTCAGTGTCACCGATTTCATGGTCCATGAGAACTACAGCCAACTCTCCTGTGAAGTGCCAGCCATAGTCATCGCTGTCGAATACCGTCTTGCACCAGAAAATCGTCTTCCGGCGCAGTACGACGACGCCATTGATGCCATTAACTGGGTTACACAACAAGCTTTGGACCCAAATGGTGACCAATGGCTCAGAGATTATGCAGATTTCTCAAGATGTTACCTATATGGAACCAGTTGTGGAGCCAATATTGCCTTCAACACTGCATTAAAAATCCAAGATCTCAAACTAGACCCAGTTAGAATTTCTGGTCTTATTCTAAACCAACCATTTTTCGGAGGCAAACAACGAACAAAATCGGAGTTAAAGCTTGCAACAGATCAGTATTTTCCTTTGCCAGCCATTGATGTTCTGTGGGAGCTTGCATTGCCGCCGGGGACTGATAGAGACCATAGATTCTGTAATCCGATGTTGGATGGTGCAAACAAAGAGAAGATCAGACATCTGGGGAGGTGTTTGGTGATTGGGTTCGGCGGCGATCCTCTGATTGATCGGCAACAAGATTTTGTTCAGATGTTGGTTCTTGAGGGAGTGATGGTTGAAGCTCGGTTTGATGATGTTGGGTTTCATATGATCGATATGATTGACACTAGGAGAGCCGCTGCCATTATGGCTTTTATTAAAGACTTCGTTTGATTTTTTTTTTTTTCATTTGATGTGGGTTGTTAATCATTTTTGTTAGAGGGGTTGTTAATCATTTGGCTTGAATCCGATTTAATAGAGATGAATTGATGTTTTTTACTTGATCGATTATTTAAATTAGAATTAATTCTATATTGATTGAATTTGAATAGAGATTAGCTGTGAACTAATTATTTACAAACAGTCAATCAAAATTTGACAATTATACAAATACACAAACTAATGTTAAGGATTTTCGATAAGCTTGTGTAGTTATTAAATTTTGATTGATTGTTCTTAAACAATCTGATTCACATTGTAAAGAATTTATTCTCAATTGAATATATTAATATCAAGTTTCAACTGAATCTTACATAGTTACGTCATAGAATCCGACATTATTTGATCAAATTGAGTTAAATTGTAGAAGAGATCTAACGCGGTTATAATTATGTTAGATTGTAAAAACCAAATTCNCATAGTTACGCCATAAAATCCGACATTATTTGATCAAATTGAGTTAAATTGTGGAAGAGATCTAACGCGGTTATAATTATGTTAGATTGTAAAACCCAAATTCGTAGAATAATCTATTCAAATTTGGTTCGGATTTTCTAACTTGAGTTTGGATTTGGATATGTTGACATCAGGNCGTAGTTACGTCATAGAATCCGACATTATTTGATCAAATTGAGTTAAATTGTAGAAGAGATCTAACGCGGTTATAATTATGTTAGATTGTAAAAACCAAATTCGTAGAATAATCTATTCAAATTTGGTTCGGATTTTCTAACTTGAGTTTGGATTTGGATATGTTGACATCAGGCAATCTTAAACCATTTTTTTGTACTCTTAACTCTCTTTTTCTCTTTATCTTTTATTTTTGATTCAACGAACAAAAATATAAGAATCAATTTATACATACTTTAACTAATCATTATATGATCGGCTAGGTGTACTCTAACTCTCTTTTCTCTTCATCTGACATTGGTACACTAGGCAAATTAATTATAATTTTGTCCATTGGGAATTTACATTGATGTACAATTTTGAATACTTCTCATTTTATTAAAGAANAATATAAGAATCAATTTATACATACTTTAACTAATCATTATATGATCGGTTAGGTGTACTCTAACTCTCTTTTCTCTTCATCTGACATTGGTACACTAGGCAAATTAATTATAATTTTGTCCATTGGGAATTTACATTGATGTACAATTTTGAATACTTCTCATTTTATTAAAGAAAATGCTATGTATCTCAGATTTATAACTCAANTTAATTATAATTTTGTCCATTGGGAATTTACATTGATGTACAATTTTGAATACTTCTCATTTTATTAAAGAAAATGCTATGTATCTCAGATTTATAACTCAAATTTTCAACTTAAATAAAGGGGACCATTGGATGAGTGGGTTCCATTAATTTTTTTAAATGAGACCCACTGATCTTCCTTGATTTGGAATGCAAATTTCATAGCATTGCTCTTTTATTAATTTGCTTGTGCACCGACTTTTGCTTTAACATGGGGGATAAATTTTTGTGGGTTTAACTCATTACTGGAAGGGGTAGGTGGTGTATATAGCCAATAATAAGTTGTACATTCTCAAGAAAAGCTGTGATTCATCACTGTCTGATTTTTTTTTTTTAATAAAAAAACTAACTTGTGTGTAGTTTTTTAATTATTGATTGTGCACACCGGCGAAAATTGCTAAATGGTGTGCTACAAACATACAAAATTTTCTCAGGATAGAAAGGTTTTTGCCATGGTGGAAAGGATAATATGGTTATGAAAAATTGTAAATAATTCAAATAAAATTTAAAAATTAAAATCAAAATGTATATCATACTTTAGATGAGTGTGAGATGAGAGGGTCCCACTGAAAAAAATTAATGGGATCCACTCATCTAAAAAATAATATACATTTGAGTTACAATTTTTTGGATTTTATTTAAATTTTGTAACATTGCTCGTTATGTTATTTTATTTATCGCTTAAGATAAATATGGAAAGAAGGAAATTAACTAAATTCGACTAGCACAATTTCCATGCGATTTGTAAGTATCACAACATCTCCTTTGGGACACTGAATTATTATTGAAACAACCGTAGAAATTCTCTCTTGCTTTTGTTGCAATTTGCAGTATATTAGAGATAGATAGAATTCATATAGTAAAATAGCAATAACATGTGCTTTCAGGCACGATGNAATTTGCAGTATATTAGAGATAGATAGAATTCATATAGTAAAATAGCAATAACATGTGCTTTCAGGCACGATGCAATATAAAATTAGAATGTCTAAAAAATTGATCTCAATGTATAAAATAACAATGTTTATTTTATACTATTCATTATTTTTAAAAAAAAATTGACAACAAAATTTTCTCAAAATACATGATCTTAACAAAATATCAACATGTATTAGACTATATGAAAAGTGTCTGAAATAAAAATTAAAGTAAATTTCACTGACACGCCTTAGATTTAAGTTATATTTTAATAACACCTTCTCTAATTTTTGAAATATTATTGCATGCTCCTATAAAATTTACCCTAAAAATCTAGGGCATGTCAGTAAAATTTATCCTAAAAATTATATTGGGTCAAAAATTTATCAAAAACTAAATGATTTAAGTGATTAAAAATAGACGATGTGATAGAAATAAGCAAAAAAAATATATAGGAATAAGATTCGAACTCTTAATCCCCTTTCCCACCCCCTCCCAAAACTTCAAAATAATTTGAAAGAACAACTTTCTTATGGTAAAATGAATGATCCAATAGCATCATGTGTGTGCACCATACAAAATAGCAAAACAAGAAGAAAAAATTAGTTACCTGGAAAGTCCAGCCCACATAGCTAAACTATTTTTATAAAGTCAAGCAAAAGCAAGCGAGCTATAAGAACTTAATGATATCAGAGATTACATGTAAAGTTTGAGATGAACTCATAGTGGGTGTTTGTGTATTCGATCCCAAATAAAATTTTAAATAATTATNCATACAAAATAGCAAAACAAGAAGAAAAAATTAGTTACCTGGTAAGTCCAGCCCACATAGCTAAACTATTTTATAAAGTCAAGCAAAAGCAAGCGAGCTATAAGAACTTAATGATATCAGAGATTACATGTAAAGTTTGAGATGAACTCATAGTGGGTGTTTGTGTATTCGATCCCAAATAAAATTTTAAATAATTATGGACTCTTAGATTCGTGGGTATCATAAATTTTTTTTGATTGTACCTATATTTATTTATTAGTTATTCTCTGCGCCTGAAAGCATGTAGTAATAAAAAAAATGTTCAACAATAAACATATTTGTATTCACACTTAAAATCAAATCACAAATATAGAGGATATGTAAATGAATTTAAGCACNAATTTAAATAATTATGGACTCTTAGATTCGTGGGTATCATAAATTTTTTTTGATTGTACATATATTTATTTATTAGTTATTCTCTGCGCCTGAAAGCATGTATTAATAAAAAAAAATGTTCAACAATAAACATATTTGTATTCACACTTAAAATCAAATCACAAATATAGAGAATATGTAAATGAATTTAAGCACCAATTGTAGTGGGATGAGTAGTGACAATGGTGATGGACGGTAGTAGTGATGATGGGAAACGGTGATAGTTGTGGTGGGTGGCGACAACCATGGTAATGGTGGTAGTCGTGGATGACAACGGTAATGATAGTGGTAGTGGTAGCCGTGGGAGATGACGAAGGTGGTGGTGGACGACGATGATGATAGTTGACAGTAATGGTAGTGGGTGGTGACGATGGTGGTGGTGGACGACGATGCGTGCTTTTAGGCGACAGTGTGATGGATAGTGACGAATGGTGGTGGTAGTAGTGGTGGTGATGGTGGTGAGGATAGGTGACAATGGGTGCTTGTAGTGGTGAATGATAACGGGTGGTGGTGGTAGGGGTGGGTGACAATGTTTGGTGGCGATAGTGGGCAACAACGGGTGGTGGTGGGTGCTGACGGTGGGCGATGATGGTAGTAATAATAATAAATATAAGAATAAGATGATAATGGTGATGGGTAGTGGCGGTAAACAACGATAGTAGCAATTGTAGTGGGTGACAATGGTGATGGTAGTGGCGATGGGTGGGGATGGAGGTGTTGGGGCAATGGGGGTGGTTGGGGTAATGGCGACGGTGGTGGTTTGGCAATGATGGCAGTGGTAGTGGTAGTTGTGACGACCATGGGGCTGATGGTATGGTGATGGGGGTGGTAGGGGTGATGGTGGGACATCGGCAATGGTTGTAGGGTGCGACAGTGGTGGTGGGGATAATGGTGGTAGGGCGGTGGGTGTGGTAAGATAGCGACAGTGGTGGTGGCAGAGGCGACAACGGTGGTGCGGGGGTGGGGGTAGTTGTGGTGGTAGTGGTAGTGGTGGTCTCCTAACTGGGCCGATTTTGCTATCAGACCGTTTATGTAAAGAACCCACCATAAAATCGTTGAACCGGTCAAAAATCGGTAAACCCATGAGAACCGAACGAGTTTACAAAATCGGACGGTTTAATTTCTTTAGTATAAATATGAGATTGTTTTATCATTTGGGCATTTTGTGTCTTTTCCCTTTTCCCTTCTGTTTTACGTTTTGCCCTAAATCGTTTCAGACCAGACGACTGACCACGAGCAGCCTTCACGCTCCACCCCAACGACTAACCACGAGCAGCGGCGATCAATTCCAGCGACGATCACTAGTGATCCAGTCCATAGTCAGTGACCATCGATTCCTTCCAGCAGGAAGTCCAGTCGATTCCAACAAGTAGTGGGTTGTCTTATTAATTGCTATTTTCTGAAGAAGATTATGAGCAGCTCATATGAGTTTGCTGTGCATGTGCTCAGTGGATGGTGGTGATGGTTGACCCACCCGCATGATGATGATAATGGGTTTTAGGAGATTGGGTTGATTTGTGTTTTTCTTTTATGTTTGGCTTCATATTATCATGGATTTCCATTCTTTAACTAANTTTAGGAGATTGGGTTGATTTGTGTTTTTCTTTTATGTTTGGCTTCATATTATCATGGATTTCCATTCTTTAACTAATGGGTGAGTTGATTTTGAGCCTATATGCATGGCAATTGGCAATGCCTTTTCAAAGTTCAAATTTGTGGTTCTAATTGAGTGGCATTTGAGTTTTCTGATGATCAATAATTGCTGAAAAGATTGTTTATGAAGGTCTGGAATCCACTAGATTAGTGGGTTTTTTTGTCTCTTTCACTGACATATGTGAATGATTTGTACCCTGGATTTTCTGTTTCCTGAACCGAGCCAATCACTAGTGTGTTTCTAGTTTCATCATTTTATGAATTGTGATATTGAACTTGTGGTTTGTTTGGGATTCTTATTGTTCATTATATATAATTGGGTTGTAGATTAGTTAATTGATAGTAGTGGTAATATTTGTATTTTCAAGTGGAACTAGGTAATAGTTGAATAATTTATTTTCAATTTTGTTTATTTGAGTCTTTATGCTATGCTCATGTGCTTTGTTTTGTTTTCATGTGTCTTGCTTACTATAGTTTGAATATGAAGTTTGAACTTTGAAGAATGCAAATTATATGGATTATGCTTAGATTGATACATTGTCGAAGAGGTGGACTTAGACTTAGAGCCTTGAACTTCAATAGAGGTATTTTTCTCTACTTAACTTTACAAGTTGTATTGAAAATTAAATACATTAAAATTGCATACATGTTTGATGATTTTTATCTACTTAACTTTACATGTTTGATGTTATTTTTATAATTATTGTATTTTTTAGCCTATTTATAATTATTTTTTATTATATTACCGGTTCGACCAGTGACCCATTAACCCAGTCCATGCACCGGATTGATGTCCACGCCGGGTTTTAAAACTATGCATCATAGAAGGATTCCTCTGTAAAGGCAGCCCTATGAGGCAACATCACAACATGATCCAATGCAAATAGCTCTTTGGGAACATTAGGTTCATTCTCAAACACATCCAAGCCAACTCCAAAAATTTTTCCTTCCACCAAACATCTCACCAATTCCTTCTCGTCAATAATCGCCCCGCGCCCAATATTAATGATAATTCCATCCTTTCCCAGTGCCTTCATGACGTAGTTGTTGATCATGTGGTAGGTGTCTTCAATTAACGAGCAGCAGATGATAAGGGTATTACAGTGAGATGCAAGTTCAAAGACATTTGGATAGAATGTATATGAAACTGATGGTTTCTTCGTCCTTGAGTTGTATGATATAAAGCCGCCGAAGCCCTTGAGTCTTTTTGCTACTTTTGAGCCAATGCTACCTAGCCAATAATCCCAACTTGTCTGCCACCCAACTGAAATCAACAAACACCTCTCCACATCATATTAGTTAGGAAAACAATGATTGCAATCCGAAATATACACATAGCAATTGTAGAACCACACTCTGTCATTCTTTAATCAACTGTCATGGAAATTTAAAGCACTTATATGCTAATCTACTATGTTCTAGACATTGGACTGGCAGTTTTAAGTACAGCATGAAACACCCTGTGGAGGTAATCCTTGTGCCCCCATTTCTGTCGCAGCACTAAGTTTTTGCAGTACTAGGTGCTTGAAAAACATGTAATTTATAGCATACCTGCATCAATCTTGTCCAAATATGTCGTCCCCACCCAAATGCAGCCTAACACCACCCCAGTTCATCTCAATCCTAGAGCCCTGTTGACCACACACACACATGGACAAAGACACAAATGCATACCCCCTATCTACAGTGTAATATAGCGTTCCTCCACTTCGAATAATAAATGAATTTGAGAATGTGATCCGACCAACAATAGGAGAGTTGTCGAATGAACCATACCTTTGGTACTCTAACAGGGTGAATGATCCTATTCCAGATCTATACATCTTACAACCTGCTTTACCGATCAAAGTGACAGGAGAGGGAATCAAACCGAATTGAAGCTAGCAAATTACACACCTGGGGTTGGTTAGAACTGAGGGATAATTGTAAAACTTAAATGTGGCCCACATGATTTTTGGCACATGTGATATATACTGATTGGTGATGTGGTTAGGTCAAGATAATGATAAGTTTCTCAATCCCAAACTAATCAGGCAACTGATGGTTTCTGATTGGTCAAAGAGAAGTAATAGTTTCATAATATCTTACTTTGATAGAAAGTGGAGTTCATTTTGATCTAGGAAATCGGTCTTCTCTCTACCTATAAATGTGCACTTGCCCCCATTGATTTGTGTATCTTACGTTAAAAGATTAGGAGAGAGAAACTGTGTTTTCAGGCTACACCAAATACTGTTATTCTTGTTCAAAAATCACAAAGGTTTACATCAATGGCTTCAAGTATGTAACTTATGATGTTTTTAATTCCGCAATATGAATATGTGAAAATCATGATTGTTCTAGATCTTGGAAGTAGGGTTTGATTAATTTATTTGATCAAATAAAATTTACGTGTGGTATCAGAGCAAGAGTAAAAGACTTTCGTGATTTTCTGTTAAAAATATGTATATTGGTCGTAATGTTTGCCTACTGTTATGAATTACAATTTTTATTTGTTTGATTGAAAGTTGTACCGACTATGTTAATATTATTTTAAAAGTTGGGTGTCAAATGCTTTGAGTAAATATGTATATTATCTGTATCAAGGCAATTCATTTTTAGCTTCAGAATTTGTACGGAAGCTGTACCGAATTTGATTAAATAGGTGATGGATATCACCTATTATTAATTATTTTATCCCTAGCTCCAGAATTCTGACATTGATGACTTCAGAGAACAAAATAATTCATTTCTCTTGGTCGACTTTTGATAGATTTGTTGAGACTTGTAAGACGTAGTAATCGTTATGAAATTTCAACCTTCCACTCGAAGGATAGTAGCCTTTATCTCTCTTTGCCAATAAAACTCTTTTCTAAGGTAATTCTACATCAGAAGAGAGTCATTTTCCCCCTCTCACATATAAGTCCTTGCACTCAAAGGAGGTACCCACTAACCCTTGAACGTGTAGTGGGTACCTCCTCCTTTGAGTGCAAGGGTTTATATGCGAGGGGGGAAGACGACTCTCTTTCGATGTGAAATTGTTTTAGGAAAGGGTCTTATTGGCGAAGAGAGATAAAGGCTACTGGGGCTCGGTGCCGCCAGGTCAGCCGGAATCCTTCGAATGGAGGGCTGAAATTCCGTAACGATTTCTACCCCTTACAAGACCCAATGAAATATCTGACTGTAATTTTTTTTTCCCCCAGATGTGGGATTAGTTGGTACGTTATAATTGAAGCCCATAATTCTTCTTTCAAATTTCTTTTCTGATTTACAGAGAAGGTCAAATGTCTTATATTACGATTTGTATTTTATATTAATGTATATCTATACATCTTTAGGTTGTCATCTTCCTGTTTGATTATTACCTGTTTTGTCAAAAGAGTTACACATGTTTTTGATGTCATATTTTATGTCACATAAATTGGGATCTTACTAGACGGTACTGTAAGACGTTGGGTGTCACTGTGATACCAATCACAATAATTACAGTTTATTCACTGTGACACATAAGTTGTATCCTATTTTGCCTATGAATGTGTTAATGTTAACCTTATGGATAATATGATGTATCATGATAGTTTTTTTAAAGTATATATATATATATATATATTGTTTATGTAATGTCATTATTTTGATTTAATGCTTATATTATGATATAATTTAGTAGCCGTCAAAGTGGCCTAACTAGAATGATTAATAAGTATTAAATCATATAATTGATATTTAATATCTATTACCGAGATATTAAAATAATGATTTGCAAATCGTAGTTTTTTAATCATTTAGATATTAGGAATTGGCCCAAAGGTGCACCACTTTTCAAGTGATTAATTAACCGGAATAGGATAATTATGGTATATTCATGATTGGTGGGTCCTGAATGCCCAAAGGTAACAGACCTACCTAATTATGGGTGTATCATTAATTAGTCCTATTAGGTGAAGGGAATCACCATGATGGTTAATGTATTAGTATATTGTGATTACTACCAAAAGGAGAATCACAATAGGACTATTTATTGATAGCAAGAATATGTATTTCATTCTTACTCATGTTTGAACTGTTAGATAACTCAAAGCACTAACGTAGTGAGCATTTAACTTATTGCAGCGTCTGTTCTTGTTTCGTTGTATTCACGTGCTTCTTCTATTTCGATGCTTAATGGATTAAATTTCTCTGATTGGCGCGAACAAGTCCAGTTTCACCTAGATGTTCTAGATCTTGATTTAGCACTACAAACTGAGAAACCTGCTATTATTACTGAGATAAGCAACGCTGATGAATGAGTTTTCCATAAAGCTTGGGAAAGATCGAACAGATTGAGCCTTATGTTTATGCGGATGACAATTGCAAGCAATATTAAGTCAACTCTTCCACAGAAAGACATAACTGCTAAAGAATTTTTTGATATTGTGGAAGATCGTTTTCAAACTGCTGACAAATCTCTTGCTGGGACATTAATGACTGAACTTATCACCATGAAATTTGATGGGTACACGTACGATGCATGATCATGTCATCGAGATGACAAACATAACTGCTACATTAAAGGCTCTAGGGATGGGTGTGGATGATTTTTTTTTCTGACACGATTTATTCTAAACTCCTTGCCTCCTCAGTATGGTCCTTTTCAGATTCACGATAACACTATTAAGGATAAGTGGAATGTGAATGAATTGACCAACATTCTTGTTCAAGAGGAGACAAGACTTAATAAATTGGGAAATCATTTAGTTCATCTTGTAAGTCAAGGAGCAAAAAGAAAATGGAAGAAGCCTAAAAGTATGAAACATGGTCCACCAAAGACTAATGAGCCTACTCAAGTTACTCAGGCTTATAAGAAGGAAAAGGGTGATAGGTGTCACTTCTGTAAGAAGTTGGGACACTTTCAGAAAGATTGCCATAAGAAAAGGGAATGGTTCGAAAAGAAAGGTAAATATTTAGCTTTTGTATGTTTCGAATCAAACCTTACTGAAGTTCCTTTAAATACTTGGTAGATTGATTTTGGTGCTACTGTTCATGTTTCAAATACGATGCAGGGATTCCTTACAACCTAGACCATAAAACCAAATTGAGAAATTCATATTCATGGGTAACTGCGTCAAAGCTCCAGTTGAAGCTATTGGAACTTTTCATTTATTTCTAGATACTGGTTATCATTTGGATTTATTTCAGACACTCTATGTTCCTTCTATTTCTCAAAATTTAGTTTCTTTGTCTAGACTTGATGTTGATGGATATTCTTTTAAATTTGGTAATAAGAGTGTTAGTTTGTTTAAGAATACCTCTTTCATTGGTTCTGGTATTCTGCATGATGGATTGTACAAATTGAAACTTGATGACTTATTTGCTGAGTCTCTTCTAACCCTGCATCATAATGTTGGAATAAAACGTAGCTTGATGAATGAAAATTCTTCCAACTTGCGGCACAAACGACTGGGTCATATATCTAGAGAAAGGTTAGAGAGATTGGTGATGAATGGGATTCTTTCGAATCTAGATTTCATTGATCTCGGAATATGTGTGGATTGTATTAAGGGAAAACAAACCAAACACACCAAGAAAGGTGCCACAAGAAGTAATGAACTCCTTGAAATTATCCATACAGACATATGTGGACCTTTTGACACTTCATCGATTGGTGGAGAAAAATATTTTATTACCTTCATAGATAATTTTTCACGTTTTGGTTATATCTATTTATTGCATGAAAAATCTCAGTCAGTGGATGCCTTTGAGGTGTACATTACTAAGGTTAAAAGACAACTAGATAGAAAGGTGAAAGTCATCAGATTGGATAGAGGTGGTGAATATTATGGAAGATATGATGGTTTAGGACAATGTCCTGGTCCATTTGCTAAACTCCTTGAAAAGTATGACATTTATGCACAATACACTATGCCTGGTACGCCACAGTAGAATGGTGTAGCTGAAAGGCGTAACCGTACTTTAATGGATATGATTAGGAGCATGTTAAGTAATTCCTCATTTCCCTTATCTTTGTGGATGGAAGCTCTTAAGACCTCTATCTATTTATTAAATCAGGTTCCTAATAAGGCAGTTCCAAAGACTCCTTTTGAACTGTGGACAGGAAGGAATCCGAGTTTAAGACACCTGCATGTTTGGGGTTGTCCAGCAGAGGCTAGGATTTATAATCCGCATGAAAAGAAATTAGATTTTAGAACGATTAGCTGTTACTTTATTGGTTACACAGAAAAATCCAAAGGGTATAGGTTTTACTGTCCTACCCATAGTACAAGAATTGTTGAAACTGGTAATGCCAGATTCATTGAGAATGGTGAAACCAGTGGGAGTGATAAATCACGAAATGTGATTATTGAAGAAGTTAAGGAAAAAATCTCATCACCCATAACTTCTAATGATATTGTTGTTCTTACAGTTGTTGTACAATATGACAACGTTGAACAACAATTAAATGATCAACCACTCCATAATGAGGTTGTCACCATTGAACCGATAGTAGAAGAATTACAAGGGGTAGCATTAAGAC